GCAGAAGTAGAAAGCAGGGAAGAGCAAATAATAAGATTATTGTGGACAACTTTCTACAGCTGGATAGTGTGATAATGTCAGATCCTTAGTGTTGTTAGCAGTTCTGCTGCTTTTAAATCAAGCAGCAAAACAAGAGTGAGAGTATCTAAGGTATTGTGCATGAATGCCTCCTCTGGTCCTACTGTCAGCTGTGAGTTGGTTTTTGCATAGATAGAGGATGGCAAAATAGGATATTGTGAAAAATGAAGAATTTTGGCAGCAGAAAATGGTCTGATTTTCCAGGAAATCTGGCAGGCACATTTATGTAAAATAGCATTCAAATGTGCACCTTAGATTTTCTTGGAAAATTAAGTGGTCCTTTTTTGGTTGTTGAAATCTTTTTTCCTCCATGATGAGATCATATTTAGCTCCAACTTCTCCATGAAGACCAAGTCAGCCTACAGAGTACCTAGGAAACATTGATGCATGAAAAAAGACATTCTCTAGAGCTCAGATATCACATTATATTTTAAAAGTCCTCCATTGAATAGTCAACATGACCTTAGATGAATTTGAAGTCCAATGTTTGGGCACAAGGCAGTGTGGTAAAGTATCTCTTTGATAGAGAGCTGGAAGCCCTGAGTTCCTTTCCAGTTTCTGACACATACTAGCTATGTGACGTATTTAACTTCTTTGAAGTTGGTGAGCAGGTAAGAACCTGCATTGGTAGGGGAACCTCCTAGATCAATGAAATCATAGGTCTGATCCAAAGACAAGGAGTAGAGGTCAACTGGGAGAGGTTGGATTTGGACCCTGGGCATAAGGAGCCTCTGAAGTGAGGCTTTGTCTTTCCTAGATTATTTTCAAAACTGGCTTCGATTCAGCAGGGGTAGCCAAGGATGGATGATGCCTAACAGGGACTATCTCTCAAACAGCCCACAACCCTAACCTATGTGGTACTACTTTCTATTACCAAAGAGTCTGTCTCACTTGGAATATCCTTTCTTTTCATCCCATCATTTGCAGATATTTTCACAATCTACCAACTATGTATATAGTTTGTTGTTGTTTAGCCATTTTTCAGTCATGTCTGACTTTTCATGACTCCTCTTGGGGTTCTCTAGCTCATTTTACAGATGAGGAAGTTTACAGTAATATATATGTAATACATACACATCACATATATGCATGTACATATTCTTTTTTTTTTGCTATCAAATCTTTCTTTATGCTATAGCAGCAGGAACAGCCCCAAACTGGACCATTTTTGTCTCCTTCCTGGTTCTTTCTTGAAGAGTGGAATGTTGAAATAGAAGCCTGCTTATTTGAGTGTTCTCAAGTGGGTGTCTGCACTCAGTTCTCAATGAGTCACAGGCTGGACTCGTTTTCTTCTTCATCTGCTTACCCTAATCAAATCCTACCCCATCCTTCAAGGCCTGGCTTAGTTTCCACCCTCTCCACAAAGTCTTTTCTGATTCTTCCTGGGCCCAGAAATCTCTCCCTGTTTCAGACTCCAATAGCACTCATTGCTGGTTTTCATTTGTTACTTAAGAGTAGGCATCAAAATTATCTTTTCATTTGTGTATAGCTTGTTTCCCCAATACTGTTGGAGGATACCCAAAGGTAGGAACCATGGCCCACACTCCTGCTCTTCTGTATAGTCTACACAGACACAAATTAGGAACCAAATCTGAAGTTGTTTGACTATGGGATGGACAGTTACTCTGGGGTTCTGGATGAAGGGGAGTAGAACGCTGTAAAGAAATGCACCAAAACTTGAGATGCATTTTGAGCTACATTATTTCTTTTATTGCAAAACATTTGTTACAGAAATTTCAGAAAGGATTTTTTTTAAATTGTGGTAACTGCCAACTTCTGCTTGGAGTTACCTATCTAAACACACAGCTAAAAGTGCATTGTGAATACAATAGACCTTTAAAAAAGAACTATTTTCCTAGGGTTTATATATATTTATATATAGATAGATATGTAAACCCATGTCTATCCATTACACAAAAAAGAAAGAGGTGGATATATATATATATATATATATATATATATATATATATATATATATACATTATATATATATATATATATATATACATGTATATATATGTGTATATATATATTTATTTGACAAACCCAACTTAAAAATCTTCATATTTATAGGAATCTGTTTAAAAATGTCATTTATCACCCTCTTCCCACCCTTTCCCTCTTATATGGTTAGAACCTTTTACAAATGGTTAGAACATTTACAAATGAGAACCCAAATTCTATGTGATGAGATTACTGTGAGTATAGTACATTGCATACACTTGTCCACACAGTGGTAGCAGCAATACCGACTTCTCAGACAAGTCAGCTGCGATGATGGGAGGCAGATCGATGTTGAGGGCAGTGCTGGTGCCCCCTGTCACTGAACATCCTTTGCAGATGTTCTCCTAATCCACCAGCTATTTAGTTAACAGCCAAATAACTAGCTATACACACATATGCGTGTATACATATATATATATTTTACTATCAAAATATTTAAAAATTACCCAGTAGCAGCAGGAACAGCCCCAAACCTTCTCTCCCCTTCTCAATTCTCTCTTGAAGAGTGGGAACTTGGTGTGGATGTCTGTTGACTTGGTTATCTCCCCAAATAAGAATCTGCAGTCAGTTCTAAATGAGCTCAGGACAGACTCAGATGGTCCATCTGCCTGTGCCACATGGGTATTCAGGGAAGCTGGGGTGGAGAATGAAATGGGTTCTTTGGAAACTGAAGTCAATGAGATGAGAATTGTGTGTAGACTTTACATCCAGGCCTGGCCAGAGGTGGGGGTGGAGGAATGGGATGGGCAGAGAGAAGTTGGTTCTGTGGATCATGGGATTTAGAAAAGGAAAGGGATTTAGAGACTGTTTAGAAAGGTGGGGCAGAATTTGAATAATTGACTTTCCTACAGGCTACTGTTGCTGCTTATTACATGTCCACAGCAACAATAATAACTGACATTTAGATAGTGCTTTAATGTTTGTAAAGCATTGTAGATATATTATCTCATCTGAGCTTCACAACAAAACTGCAGCTTTTACTCCCCCCATTTTGAAGATGAGAGAACTGAGGCCAAGAGGTTTAAGTGGCTTGCCAATAGTTACAAGCCAGTAGATGCAAGAAGTGGGATTTGAAATTACGTCTTCTTGACTCTATGACCAGTACTCTATTCAAACTGTGCAAGAGATTCTGATAAAATGGTTTTGATAAGACTAGTGAGTTATTGCTAGAGGAAATATAGAGGAAAAAGCATTGGATTTGGCCTCAGGGGTCCAAGTGCAGATCCTTGCTCTGACTCGTTACCTGTGTGATCTTGGGCAAGTCACTAAGTCATGCTAATTTTCTGGGCCTGTTTCTTTGTTGTAAATTGAAGGGGTTGGATCAGATGACCACTGAGGTCCTTCCCCTGTCTAAATCTTTTGAATGTAGGTAGCAAAATATAACATAACACAACAGAAACCCTACAGGAGACACATTCCCAACTTTTCCTCTTCAACCATTCACTCATAGCCCTAATAATGAAAAAGTAGGGTAGTCAGGGAAGGGAATGATCAGTCTCAGTCAGAGATAGTGCTGAGCACATAAGCATCCTTGGCGTGTATGCTCTTCCATAAGCCCTATTATTCTGTAAAAACACTTATGGTTTTGTTGAACGTGATATTTGTGCAAACATGCAAAATGCTACTAGTCTAAAGTGGACAGCAGGTGGTCAGTGTCAGGGAAGGAGAACTCATCCAGTTCCTAACCCATTATCATTATAAATATCTAGTCACTGTGGGGAAAAAAACCCCCACCAAAACCCTCCCTACTTGTGGAAATGTTGGAATCTACACATCCCCACTTCATTAGCAATGATAAATGGAAGGAAATCACCTGAGAATATGCAACACCACTGTTTTTTTTTAACTTAAGAAAAGAAGACAATAAAACACCCCATTTTTCTTGAATGAGAACCAACAGATGCATTGGCTGACTCCAAGCTGGTAGAAGTGATTGGCCATTAAAAGAATATAAAAGTCAGCTTGTGTCTCTTTCACTTGCAACCTCCAGCTGTGGGTGCTAGACTAAAAGCTTTTTTCCTTTGTCTTTGGAACTGTTGATTCAAGGCTACATGAATCAACTTCTAAGTTTTCCGTGTGTTGGACAGCTCCCAAGAAAGGAAAGATGACTTTTTTTTTTTTTGACAACAACAAAGGCAAACACAATCACCTGGGGATCACTCAGACACATTCTCACCTGTCCAAAAGAGGTCAAGTGTGCACATATTGAAAAACCAGGTAGAAAAGCACATTTCTGATTTTGGATGGCTAATTTGCTGTGATTTTGGTCGTTGTGACTTGGCATACTTTTGCTCACTGTCCCTCATTGTTTAGCATTGTCTGTGTGATTGTTTCAAGGTATAAGGTGATTGTATTTTGAATATCAGGGAAGTCCCTTAGCTTTTGCAGACCTGAGCTGTGTCGGCTCTCAGCCATCTCAGATGTGTTGGAGAAATGTACCTTGTGGTTAATACTTCATTTCCTCTTATTTGTTCATCACTTTAATAAAGGATAATAAAAAGCTCGATTATATATATTTTTTAATCTTTAAAAATTGAATAGATTCAAAACAGTATAAGAAACCCAGAAAGTTGAATGAATTTCTAACTGGTTTCAGCATCACAGGCAGGCAACAGTAACATGATAAGTGCCTTGGAGAAATCCAAAGAAACTCATGAAGCGATGCATGCATTTTTATCAACACAAATTAAGACTGGACTTGAGGGAGAGAAACTACTGCAGTTAGGTCACATTGTCATTGCAAAAGCGTTGTGTGCTACAGTGCACCATCTAGAACGTGTGTCTAGCCACCTATCATATAGCATCACTTAAACTATAAACAGAACATTACTAGGTGAAAAATATTTATAAAATACTGTACACTGCTTCCTGAATCGGCCAGCAGATGTAAACAAGCAGCTAAGTCAACTGAGTTTCAAAAGAGTATCTTAAGTTCATTTGTTTCAGACGGTCCTTTTCCATAACATGCCAGATCATCTTTTGTCCAGTCACAACTCACCAATCACAGCTCACAGTGGCTCATTAGAAGATGAATATACAGCAGCTTATACAGACATTTATAGTGGAGCCGTACAGAAGAATGTGGGAATCATAAAATAGTTTACAGATGGGAACAAAAAAGGCAATTCTTCCATGCATATGTGAAGAAGATGGCTTTTGGACCATGAGTATTCCTTGCAACATGTGCTTCTTTATTGAACGTTACAGATTTGCAAATAAGTGAGATGATGCAATATTGAAACTGTCCTGTAACATTCATTAATACAACCACATGCCACAACACTATTGGGCTATACATGGGTTATGTAGGTATTGTAATACAGGATTGTATAACAGATCATATGGCATCGGCTATAGATAGGACATGATGGACTACTGGGTAATCTTTATTGTCATTAGAGAAGTTATAACAGCACATGGCATTCACTAAGAAGAGTGGACCGTATAGCCTCAGAATGTGGAATAAAGTACTGTCCTGGAATTTATCATCATGTTATCTATAGAAACCATATTTTAGAAGGAATAGGGAAACAATCAGAAGAAAACTTTTTTTTTTTTGCGTTGTCATGAGCACTTTAAAAACATTTGATTTATATATTTGAAAAGAGAGGACTTTCAAAGTGCTAAGTAGTATCCTGGACCTCTAAACCTGGATTGTAAAAATCCAGTTGAGTAAAGTGCTGTGTTTTGACCTCTTACATCGCTTTTGGCTTGGAGAAATAGGCAAACAACTCACAGGATTCCCAGCGAGTTCCCTCTTGAGCTAAAGTTCATCAAAGAGGGGTTTTCTAATGAGTTAATGCTTCAAGCACATACCAGTCTTATCTGTAAAGATGAAGTGTGCTAATCCACGAACACATCACAATCATTTTCATAAAACATTCTTAGATTAAAAAGAAAAGAAACAGTGATTCATAACAAATCATTACATACAGAAAACAGCATAGAAAAATTGGCACCTTAGAAGCAGATTCTTAACCCAAAGCTTTTGTGGCCCTGGGCTCTGTACTGCTTTGCTTATACTATTTTTTTTTTTTTACAATCTGCTTCTTGTGATCAACTCTACTCACAGAGATATGTAATAAACATCCCCTGGATCAGTGACATTGCATTATAAACAAACTGGATCCAGACTAGACAAGACATGGGATCAATGCAGTATTGGTGTGTGGAGAACAGAGATGGAAAGAACAAGATAAAAAAAAATTTGTATTTCTGGAATGATACATGCACATGAGAAAAAAACGAGTCAAGAATGTATAGGTTGTATTTAAAGACATTAGGTCTATTTTGTTCCAAAGACCTCACAGAGTGAGTTTGGATTCGGCTTCAATGTACAGCTAAACCAAAGAACCAGGTAGAATTTTGGTCACTATGATACATTTAATTTTAGGGGCCCCTTCCTTCTTGTCCTCTAGTATCCCTCTGCCTCCCACAAATAATCACAGTATGAAATACTGTTTTTGGTTGTGATTTCCTTCCCCCCTACTTCAAATTTCAGTTCTGAGCTAGAATGATGTCTTAATAGCTTGCATGGTATTCTGGCAGAAGAGGATTACTTTATCATCATTCCTTGGCTCTCTTAGGGATACTGGATTCTTGGTGGACCTGCCCAGTGTTTGAAACTCTCTAAGCCTGAAGGCACAAGGATCATGAAGTCAAACCAGCAAAAAGGTAAGCTATGAAATGTAATACGTGAAACTCTAGAACAGCTCTGGTTCAAGTTTTACTTCTGTGACTTGGTATTACTTTTGATAAAGCCAAGATGCAGGCATCTATGGCTGAAGTTTCAACACTGGTCTCTGAAAATTAAAGGGGCCTGTCACTAAGTTAAATATTTCCAAGCTGTATTACATACATGAGAGGCAGCATAGACTTGGGACCAAGTCCTGCCTTTGACATATACTGGCTAATGTAACTGTGAGCGAGTTACTTAACCTCTTGATGTTCTAAGACTCTAAGTTTCAGCTTTGGTGGAGGGAACTTTCTTAGCAGGAATTTCCCTAAACCAATGAAATCACAGCCTAGGATCCCTATCACAACGATATCACTGTATAACAATTAAATATCTTTTAGGTAGGATTGGTTATCTCCAAACATTCCTCCTTCCTCGTTGTTGATCAGTACAGAACTAGAGGGGAGTGTAAGGTGTTTGTGTGGTAGTTAAGGGGTTACTGACACAAGGACAGTCTACCAGAAGGCTTTTATGTAGAAAACTCCATTGAAAGCAAAAGATAGATGGATTATGTCTAGTTAAATCTTTGCCTCACCTAACACCATTTATTAGTCTATACTCTGGAAAAAAAATAACTTGTTGGCTATGCAACAGAACTAGACAAGGTATGTCCAGTAGGCATTTGGCCATGGTTGAGACAATTGCCTAGAGGCAATATCATATCTAGCCTGTCTAGCCTTATGTGTCTCTCCCCCCCACGCCCCTATGTGTGACTGAAGCACTGAGTAATGAAAACTGAATCTTCACTATGTAGCTCCATAATTCTCATTGACAAACAGCTAGCTTTCATTTTTAAAAAAAATGTTTCTTAATTTGAACATCTGATCTCAAAATATAAATGAAACTCTCCATCTTTGGTTATCTCCCTTAGACACCCAAAGTAAGAGCAAAGTCCAAGCCACAGGGAAATTTCTAACCTTCACAGAATGTCCTATATATGCAGTGCTTATTTGCTGTTTGTATATATAATATATTATATATATATTTCTCATATAACTATCTGAATGGTTCATCTGCTTTATACTTTGGTCTATGGCATCTTTCTGTAGCTTTGCTATAAGTGTTTGCAGGAATAATATTTGTAGCAGAACTGTAGCTGATGGCTTTTGGTTGTTATGCAACCCCCTATCACCTTGAAGATAATTTAATGTTTTGAACCCAATCTCCAAAAGGTATCTGGATCCATTGTCAAAAAAAATTATAACAGCCCTTAAGAAAATCCTATTAAATTTACACTGAGATGCGATCAGATGGCAAAACTGTGGGTATGAAAATATTTAGATATAGTCATGTCCTAACATAGAAAACAATCATGATGGATGGTGTGAAAAATTGGCAGTGTGATTTTGGGGCTGTGCAAAAAACAAGTAAACACGGTGGTGATGTGAAGGATGAGAAAAGTATAGCAGCAAACTGAACATGTTAATTACATCAAACAGTGAGAAGATAACCCTCTTACTTATGGCACTGTTTCAACTCTTTCTGCCCACTGTTCAACATGGTACCATTCTGTGAATAAATTCATTGATGACAAGTGTGATTAAAAAAATAAATATATAATATTAAATTACTTAATTACATTCATCTCAAGCTCGCTCAAACTCTACTAGAATGCCCACTTATATAACAAATTGCTGGACAATTTTTTTTACACACATAAATTCTTCTTTCATTTAGATTACAATCTAAATACAAAGGCATTTCTTGTTCCTCTTTTCCCCCTTCTTCAAACAAGATCAACAGTTGTGGCACCAGAAGTGAATATAAAAGAGACAGGTGAACTAGGAGTGTTACCTTGTTTGTTTCTTTATAATGATCAATTACAGAGGTGTTGACATGTGAAGGATGTGGGACGTTAGGGTTGCTTGCTGCCGGCTTATACAGAACAAAAAGGATGCTCTTCATCAATCACCACAATGACGGAACCAATGTAAAAAGAAAACAGAATTGAAGTTTAGAATAGCTCATTAAAAAAAAAAAAGAATAGCTCATTTGTATGCTGGTTATTTTATTTCATCATTTAAAAAAAATTAGCCCTGTGTCCTAAAAAGCTTGATCACAGCCAAAAATCAAAATGGCACCTCCTAGCAGTGATTGAGCTTGGTGCCCATTTGTTCCCCACAGCTCATAGCTATATAAGGTGGAGGACTTTATCCAAACCTAATACTAGGCTCTTTTATTTCCCCCTTCCTTCCTTCTCCCCTCAGATATGAATGGGAATCAAGGCATGATTTGAGGTCAGGGTGTTTGACCTTGGGACACAGAGTTTTCCCAACCAGTGTCCCAGAAGTGAGCTTTAAAACAGAACCCTCCCAGAGCGATGTAATTTTGCTTAGCTGATAAAAATAGGGTACAAGAAGATGGAGGGACTCAGGGATAATGTCTCATCTCTCCTGCACTGTGTAGGAAGGAAGATCTAAAATTTAACTGTGCTTGCTTTCAAAGCTGTGGAAAGCAGCAGTTCTAGACAGTCTCCTCATGGACAGGCTGTCCCCTCTACTTTCTGGCCTGGAGGACTTACTCCTCTGGAAGGGGTGCCGGAGGCTGGATGTATTACTGGTCGTATTGCGTTGTCTGTCAAGTTTATCACTGATGGAGAAACTTTTCCTGGTGTGTGGGTAGAGTGTGCTGGGCTCTTCTGCAGAGTAGCTGTTGGCTCTCTCGATTTTTGGGAGGGCTATGTTGTTGGACAGGGTTCTGTCTGAGTTACTGCCCTCTTGGGTGGGTAATGCAAGTGTCTTCCGGTCTTTGGCTTCATTTTCTTCATTGTCAGAGCTGGGATGACTCAGTTCTGCTTCTCTCTCTGGATGGCTGCTGGCCAAGTCTTCCACTTTGTCTCCAGGGTCTCCAGGGAAGATCACCCTGTCAGCTATTGCCTGAGGAGCATTCACACACCTGGTGTCTATGCAGTCTGTAATGCTTGTGTATTCTGCTGTTTTGACGGGTACCCCAAAGTTGGCATAGTAGCTCCGGGGGTGAGAACATAAAGCTATGGGATTTCACAATCGGGGCCTCCTCAAGAAGAAAAGGGGTAGTAGCCAGGTAGCGGCTACTTTTTGACCGCTCTATCGTGTGATACAAGGGTGGGTCCACATCCCAGGGGTTTGGGCACTCTGGGAGGTGGGTGTAGTCTGAAGAAAAAGACCTTATGTCCATTGAAGTGATATCCTCAAAATCCATGCTCCGGCTTGGAGGTCTGTCCACAGGTGCGAGAGTTGCATAGGCACTACTTGATGGGGCAGTGGATGCTGCTGGAGCTGGAAAGATTGTCTCTCCTAGCCCCAAGATATTCATGGAATTGTCCAGAGGGTCTATGTCACAGTGGAGTTCATCCATGGCAGAGACATAGATGTCAATACAAGATGATGGTCTTCTGGAGTCAGGGATGATTGCCAAAGTACTTACGGGGGCTGGAGCAGCCTTGGTTTCTTTTGATACTGAATGGGAGCTAGTGGCTCGGTGTAGACTCAGGGACCTTTCTTTAAAAATACTTTCCAACTTTTCTATACCACTTTTGTCTTTTATATTCATGGAATAGAAAGAATGACTTCGCATACGGGGCATTAAGGTTGGAGAGGTTGGGGACATTGACTCCTCACCTGCAGGGTCGAGACTTTCTTGGAGCTTGTAGGTGTTCCCTTCCTGGCTGTTGAAGCTGCTCTGGCGAACAATGTAGGCAGCGTCCGTACAGTCGGAGGAGGTTCGGGAACGAATCTTATTGGACTCTGCCCTTTCCAGACCAGTAAGCCGCTCCAGCGCTGTGGCCATGCGTCCTATCAGCTCCTCCAGCTGAGCGAGCCGGATATCTACAGTTTGGAGGGAAGCCTTCATGCAGTGTTCTCGCTCGTTCACTTCCTCCAGCCGCATGGACATGTTCTCCACCCTTCAGGAAGAAAAGAACACGTGTCATTTGCATTTGGACAGAGCTGAATGCCAACAGGTTAATTTATAAGGGGGCCAGGATAAAAGGCAGGGAGACCACAGCGGTGCCCAGATCTTAGGCTCTCTAGTTTATTCTGTCAGAAATGAGACAGGGGAAAGCAGACCACACTGTCACCAGGAATCATAGGAACCATAGCTAGAAGGGACCTTTAAGATCATCTTACTCAGTCCCCACCCCAGCTCTAAATTCATGATATGATGACCTCACATTTTACAAATGAAGACACTGAGGAACAGGGAAAGCAAATGCCAGTCAGATTCCCAGAGGTAATTAGTGACAAAAAGTAGAACTTCTGATTTAAGCGATAGCTCTCTCTTCTGAATTCCCGAATTCAGAATACCTGAATGCTGCTTACCACAACTGTCTTACATTGTAATTCTTTGGGCTCGTATCTTGTCCATCATACTAAATCATAAGCTCTTTGAGGACAGGAACTGCTTCTTATTTGTCTTTCAATTGGTCAAAAATTTAATTCCTCATGGCCTCCAGCACAGCGAGCTCAGAAGAGCTCAGAAAATATTTGTTGACTAAACGAATGAGAGGCAGTGCGGAGTAGTGAACAAAAAGCCTGACCTCAGCATCGGTTAAATATCTAGATTCAACCTCTGCTACATCTCACTGCTACCTATGTGACCCAAGGTAAATCACTGAATGTCTTTGTGCCCTAGGCACTCTCTAAGAATGTCAGTTTGCAGATCAGTTGCCAGTCTTGAGCAAGAGAAGTTTCTTCCCCAAGAGCTCCCTACATGGTTGAAATCATAGGACTGGCCAAATTAAAAAAAAATGTGCCAAGTACTATACTGGGTGCCAGAGGGAAGCCAAAGGTGAGGGAAATGCAGTAGAATACAGAACTAGATAATTCTTTATTTAATCATTTATTCACATTGATGGAATTGGTATGTTGAAGATACATTGATATTTTTTCAACTGACCAAGTTAAGAAGGAAAGGTCCAGTTCATGCCAAGCCATATTTCCATCCCAATCTTCCATTAAAAATGTATTGAGGCAACTCTTAGGGAAAAGGAGAGGGTGGTTCATTTAGAAGAGGGGTTCTTAATCTGGGGCCCATGGATAAGATTTAAGGGGACTCATGAATTTGGATGGGAAAAAGTTAAATTTTAATTTCAGTATAATGGGTTCCTGTTGTAATTCTACTTATTAAAAAAAAAGTATTTTGAGAGGGAGTCAGCAGACCTTCAAAGGGGTCCATGACACAAAAAGGTTAAGAACCTCTGATTTAGAGGTTTCTGATTTAGAGATTCTGGAGAAGCTAAAGGTATCCTTTTCCTCTGCTATAGATCCACAAGGAACATTGAGTGTAAATCATTCCAATAATATGATTTTAAAACTTTAACTCTTGTGGATCAGTGCAAGAAGCAGTTGCCATAGGGGGTGACTAGGTGGTGCAGTGAATAGAGCACTGGCCCTGGAGTCAGGAGGACCTGAGTTCAAATGTGGCCTCAGACACCTGACACTAGCTGTGTGACCTTGGGCAAGTCACTTAACCCTGATTACCTTGTCTCCCCTCCCTCAAAAAAAAACAAGTAGTTGCCACAGAAATAGACATTGACAAAGAGTGCTTTGGGAAAGCCTCTTTGTTTCTGTGTTTTTGCTTTTTTTCATATCCCTAGTGCTTAGTATAGTGTTTGGAACATAGTAGGTGCTTAATAAATGCTTGTTTATTTGACTTCCTAAGAAAGAAATTTCACGAAAGTCATTGACAAGCTGGAGTCCATCTAGGGGACACAGTATATCACGATTTCAGCGATGCCTTTGACAAAATCCTTTATGATGACATTGTAAATATTGCAGACTAGATCAAAATAGTTTGATTTGTAGCTGCCTTTGGTTGCCTCTCTTGCTTAATGTTTTTATCAACAATTTGGACAGAGGCAGAGATGACAAATTTATCGCATTTTCTGAATATTTGATCCAGTCTGTAGCGAAGTCCTGTTTATTCTACCTTTTTTACACCTCTTGTATATGCTTCCTTCTCTCCTCTGACACAGTCATGACCCTGGAGCAAGACGTTAATTGCCTCACACTGGAACGATAGCCTGCTAGTCGGTCTCTCCCCCTCAAGGCTCTCCTCATTCTAGTCCATCATCCACTCAGCAGTCAAACTGATGCCCCCAAAGCCCAAGTCTAGCCTTGTCACCACCGCCCCTTTCTCCTTCTCTCTCTCACCTTCCACTCAATAAATTCTAATGGCTCCCTATTGCCTCCAGGATCAAACATAAAAACCTCTGTTTGGCATTTGAAGCCATAATCTGGCCCCCTTCTACCTTCCCAGTCTTCTTACACCTTAGTCTTCCAGCCCCTACCATACATACTCTTCTGTCTTGTGGCATTAGCCTTCTTGCTATTTCTCACACATGATCTTCCATCTCCCTACTCTGATCAGTTTCACTGTCATCATGTCCCTCATGCCTGGAACATTCTCTTCCTTGATTCTCTGGCTTCCTTCAAGTCACAGCCAAAATATGACCTTCTACAGGGAGTCTTTCCCAATCCCTCTTACGTCTAGTATCTTCCCTTTATTGCTTATTTCCAGCTTATCCTGTATATAACTTTTCCTATACATAGTTATTTTCATATTGTGTCATCCATTAGACTTTGAGTTCCTGTGAGTAGGAATTGCCTTTTGTCTTTCTTGGTAATTTAGAGTTAGTAATTTAGTTAGCTGGTAATTCCCAGCTCTTACCACAGTACCTGGCACTTAATCAATATGTGTTGCCTTGCCTTCACTTGATAGATGAGGAGACTGAAGCAAGGAGATGTTAAGTGACTTGCCCAAAGTCACACAGCTAGTATTTGAGGCAGGATTTGAACTTGGGTCTTGCTGATTGCCTGGATATAATACATATTACACCAATGGGCATTATCCCTATTTGATGTGCCAGGGATAAAGAAGAGAGCCAGATAATGAGCTCTGGGAAAATTTGAGGAAAGAACTAACTTTCATATGGGAAGTCACCATGAGGGAGAGATGGGAGGCAAGTTAAACCACCCACCACCAATAAGGAAACTTCTCTAACAATGCAGAACTGAAGGCACAGAATCTGCAGCCTTGAGTTTTAGAAAGTTGTTTGGGGCACTGAAGGGTTAGGTGACTTACCCAGGTAACACAGAAACAAAGAGGCTTTCCCAAAGCACTCTTTGTCAATGTCTATTTCTGTGGCAACTTCTTGTTTTTTTTTGAGGGAGGGGAGACAAGGCAATCAGGGTTAAGTGACTTGCCCAAGGTCACACTCCAGGGCCAGTGCTCTATCCACTGCACCACCTAGTCACCCCCTATGGCAACTGCTTCTTGCACTGATCCACAAGAGTTAAAATTTTAAAATCATATTATTGGAATGACTTACACTCAATGTTCCTTGTGGATCTATAGCAGAGGAAAAGGATACCTTTAGCTTCTCCAGAATCTCTAAATCAGAAACCTCTAAATCAGAGGTTCTTAACCTTTTTGTATCATGGACCCCTTTGAAGGTCTGCTGACTCCCTCTCAAAATACTTTTTTTTTTTTGGTGAGGCAATCAGGGATAAGTGACTTGCCCAGGGTCACACAGCTAGTAAGTGTTCATGTGTCTGAGACTGGATTTGAACTCATGTCCTTCTGACTTCAAGGCCACAGCTCTGTCCATCTAGCTGTCCCAAGCCTGTATGTTTTAGAGGTGGAACCTGAGCCCTCATCTTCCAGTTTCCAAAGACACCTTCCTATTCTCTATGCTGTGGCTACCCCCCAGCTGCATGAATAGCATACAAAGCAAGGAAATAAACAGTCCCATTGTACTCTGCACTGGTTTGGTCATGTGCTCAGTTCTAGGTGCCACATTTGTTTTTATGTTTTGCTTTCTAATCTATTCAGGTACATTCTTTCATTTTATTTTTTAAATAATATTTTATTTTTCCACAATTACATGTTAAACATTTTTAAAAACATTTTTAAAAAGCTTTGAGTTCCAACTTTTGTCCCTCTGTCCCTCCCTTATCTCTCCCCTCCCTGAGACAATCTAATATAGGTTATACATATGCAATCATGTAAAACATTTCCATATTAGTCATTTTGCACAGGAAGATTTGAACAAAAAAAGAATGAAAGAAAGTGAAAAATAGTATGTTTCAGTCTGTATTCAGACAATAGGTACTGCATTTTAAAAGCAATGTTGACTAATTAGAATACTTCTAAAGGGGAACAACCAGAATGTCACAGGTTTTTAGCAAGTGAAATACCGTAAGAAATATCTAAAGGAACTATAGATGTTTCAACTGGTAAAGAAAAGACAAAGGTACATGATAACTTTTAAAATATTGGAAGGGCTGTCAGATGGAATAGGGAGTGCACTTTCCTGTGTTGCTTCAGGGAAGAACCAAGAACATAGTGGAAGTTAGAATGTAAGCTCATTGAGGGCAGGGACCATTTTTATTTTTGCCCATATCCCTTGTGCTTAGCACAATGCCTGGCACACAATAGGTGCTTAATCAATGCTTGCTGAACTGAAGTTAAGGGAAGGCAAATCCTGGCTCAATTCTGAGAAAGAATTTTCTAACTACAGTAATTCAACAAGAAAATGTTTCTCTGTTACTGATAGTATTCAAGCAGAGGGTGGACAAGCATGTGTCCAGAATGTAGTAGCAGAGATTCTTGTGGAGAGTGGGAGGTTGGACTCAACGACTTTTAAGGACCCTTCCAATTCTAAGATTCTGTGATTTTAAGAGCTACACAGGATGCATTTCTGGCCTCCAAACACAAACCAGATTGTATCATGTAGTTTGCTCTAGTTTGAATCAGGCATGGTGCCTGGACATCTCTGCTTTGTGTGGGTGCCCTGCAGTGGCTTGAACTCAACTAGCAAAAATACGAGTTACTAAGCAGATGGGCATAGAATGGTGTGGTGCAGAGTGCCCGAATTGGATTTGCTCAGCCAAGAGTCCCCAA